TTGTTGTTGTTGTTGTTTGCCATTGAGTCGATAAATGAGCTAGTGAGTCAAAAACTTCTTGCAGAGTTTTCACAGATCCTAGTTGCTCAGTACAGGGAATATTTGATCATTCCTAGATTGTATCATTTGATCATTCCTGGGTTCTACAATGCCCATTAGGGTCTTTGATGATTTTCAAGTGTGTCACCTGGCCCATGGCAGTGGAGAATTTTGGGTTTCAGCTCTAGCCTGCTTTGTTGGTGAAAGCCTATAACCAGAATTGATTGGAGGTGGCACATGGTTCACCTCACCACGTCCCTGACAGGAAGCGTCTACTTACACTAAAGCACCTAGTGTGGAGTTGAGCATCGGTTCTCTTGCCAGTGGATGGGTGTATGTCACAGGAGTCACTCTTGCAGCCTAGGGAATCCCGTTGGTCAGGGTTCAGGTGTCATGGCTGTGTGCCTTCCAGGGCTGCACATGTGGCAGACTTCTGGAGCCTTAGAGGGCGGGTGGGTGTGCCGCTGTTTCCTGGGCTCCACTGGCAATTTAATGGGTACTTCAGCTTCCTTACAAAATTAGTGTTTTGTGTCTTTGGTAAAAATGATATGTAATACAACATCTGTCCCTTCAGCAATGTTCATGTGTGTAACTTGGTCACACTGATTATGTTTATCACATCGTACAATCATGACAACATGGGAATTGTACCATCTTCTCAGTCAGCAAACAAGGCATGCTGTTTTTGTCTCTGCAGAGATGGTGATTTTTGTCAAAACATGAGACTGTGAGGGTGTATGGGTTCACGTTTGTCATAACGTGAGACTATGTGTGTGAGGGTGTGTGGGTTCATGTTTGTCATGACATGAGACTCTGTGTGTGTGAGGGTATGTGGGTTCATGTTTGTTGAGGTTGGAGCCACTAATCATTGGTGAACAGTCAGCAAACACAAGGGCCTGCTATTCTTGTCTCTGCAGAGGGAGTGCTGTTTATCATTTTATAACATGAGACTGTGTGTGTGAGGGTGCGTGGGTTCATGTTTGTCATAACATGGGACTCTGTGAGGGTATGTGGGTTCATGTTTTTCATGATACGAGACTGTGTGAGGGTGGATGAGTTCATGTTTGTCGAGGGAAGGAGTCACTGATTATTGGTGTATGGTTGCATCAGGGTCTGAATTTGAGAACTGTGGGAGAGCTGGATTCTCACGTTTCTTGTCTCACTTCAGCTCTTTTAAACTTTTACTACCTTAACCTAGTTCCATGAGAGGCACAGAGAGGATAACAGAACAGTTGAGTTTGTGAAAAACAGGTGATTGACATGTAAAAATTCATAATTCTCCCAAAGAATGTTCTTTCCTCAGCAAGAGGACCTGTCACCTCCTGATTTCCTGGAGTTCAAGAAAGTGTGACCAGCCAGGACCTGGGGTTGCCAGTGTGATTGTGTGACCAGCCAGGACCTTGGGTTGCAAGTTTGATTTTGTGACCAGCTCAGGGCCTTGGTTTGCCCATTGGATTGTGTGACCAGCCAGGACCTGGGGTTGCCGATTTGTCTGTGTGACCAGCCAGGACCTGGGGTTACTGATTTGTCTGTGTGATCAGCCAGGACCTAGAGTTGCCAGTTTGATTTTGTGACTGGCTCAGGGCCTTGGTTTGCCCATTGGATTGTGTGACCAACCAGGACCTTGGGTTGCCGATTTGATTGTGTGACCAGCTCAGGGCCTTGGTTTACCTGTTAGGTTGTGTGACCAGCCAGGACCTGGGGTTGCCTGTTTATCTGTGCAGCCCAGGGTCCTCCCATGACTGTGAGGGGCAAACAGAAACAGTGCCATCCTGTGCTGTTTCCAGGGTTTCTGTCCATCCTGCCTCCCCCTGTGCTTTATTTTATCTGTTAAGTGTTCTTTTGAGTTTGTGAAAAGGCTGTAATTGCTCATAAGAAAGTGATGGTCCGCATGAGAGCATTTCTCTAAGCCTTTCTGTTTTCTAACTGTTCTAGACCATAAAGGTAGTGGAGTAAGTCTGCGGTTGGTCATAGTGAAATGCCAGAGAATATTTCAGTGTGTTGGAAGTCTGTGAGACAGGACGCCATTGGTGAGAAAGTGAACGTAATGGGTGAAGACAGTGAACCTGATGATTGTTTCCTAGAGTAGACCTTGTAGAATACAGAACCTGGTGTCAAATCCCTATGAAGTCTCAGTTCCCCTAGACTGTCACTCTCACTCTTCATTGTTCTTCTTCTTCTTTTTTTTTTTTTTTAATTTAATTGTGATTTGGGTGAAAGTTTACAGAGCAAATTCATCTTCCATACAGCAGTTCACATACCCTTTGTCTCATGACAATGACTGCAATTTCCAACAATGCACAGCTCCCCTCCCACTTCCTCCCCATGGTTACCTCTTCCCTGTGCCCTTCCCTGCCATGCACTCCTGCCCCCTGAGCTGTCTCCTTGTGCATACTCAGCCCTTCTATTCTCCCAGGATTGATCTCTCCAAGTCCATTCTTGTACACACTGGTGTTCATGGTATATTCTGATCTACAGTGTGTGGGATGTTTCAGGACTCAGTGCTCATGGAGGACGTGGCCGTGGTCTTCACCCAGGAAGAGTGGGCGCTGCTGGATTTTGCTCAGAGGAAACTCTACAGAGACGTCATGATGGAAACCTCCAGGAACCTGGCCTCAGTAGGTAAGAATGGCATCATTTTTTGTTATTATTATTTCTTTAGTGAACAAAAGTATTTTACTTCTCAATTTTCTCCAGTATTTGGAATGAGGAGTGGGAATAAATTGTTAAATAAAATAGGCATGGTCCCTTGGTCGTCTGTGGAGCTCACATATCCTGTTTTTCCTATCAACATAAAAATATAAATATGTATTAAAGGGAATTTTCATTTGTCTTGTGATTAAAAGCCCCAAGACTACGTAGTGTGTTATAAATGTAAGCACTGGCTTCTGGGGTCACTTTGGGACATTGAGAGATTTATGGTTTGGGACCTTGCAGGGAATTTTACTGTGTTGATTACAAGTTTGACATGATTATTTTGCTGCAAATAATCACACTTGTCCATCTTCAGAGGCAGACCCTGAAGAGCAAAGTGTTGGCTCATGTCAGGGGAATGTTCATCGCTCTTCACTTTCTGCCCTCATGATACGCATTTCTCCATGACCACCAGGTCAGCTCTGTTTCTATTCCCAGACAAGCTAGGAAAATATGAGCACAGAGGAGATAGGACTCATCCAGCATCACTCTGTCAATGAGCACCAGGAAAGCAAGGACCAGCCCTGTGTGGAGGGAATTACATTTCAATGCATCAGCTAGAAAAAGTCTCTTTTGCCCAGAGGACACAACTTTACAGATATCTGAGCTCACTTTTTTAATGTTAGCAGTCCTCTCACACTTTTGGTCACGGAGACCCTTTTCCACTTTCAATATTACATGTGTATTGTGTATAATACCTTTCTGCTTAGCTGACCTGATTACACCTATTTATGTCATCATCACTCTCAGCCCTCTTGGTATTGCTTCCTAGTAAATTACATTTGAACGATCACCAAACTGCTGAAATGTGGCTAATTCTTTGCTTCCAGCAGCCTTTCTCTCCCTAATAATGTCTTTCTTTTTGTCTTGCATTGTGAACCTCAAATTGAATTTTTGGCTCAGTTTCCCAAAACATTAATGATGGAGAAAAGTTATCTATTGAACATATAATGGTACAATTCATGAAGAATAACACCTGGTCCTCCATGTTAGGAGAAAAAAATTTTGAATCTCATGGCAGTAAAGATCACCATAAACACAAGAGGAGACATTTGAGGTGAGTGTCATTCACACATGAGAAAACAGCCCCTCAGGAGAAAGTCCTCAGGTGTCATGATGTTAAAATACACATGTCCTGCATCAGAATCTTGAAACTTTTGGGATCCACGTGGGTGACTGGATTATTGACAGGGCTGTGGAGAGTGACACACATTAAAGCAGCATAGTAGGCCACCATCTTTGAGTGGGTGTCTCTGATTCTTTTCTACTTGGGTCAGAATCCAGTGGGCGAAAGATTTGGATGCCATGAAATGCACTTACTACCCAAATTCAGGTCGGCTGTTGCTAAACTATTACAAACTAGTTAAAAACCCTGATGTACTGTAATGTTTATATACACATACATACATACATCTTACATGTATAAACCTAGCTGTAAAATTAAGGAGCTCTGGTGGCACAATGCCTAAGGCATTTAACTGCTAACCAGAAGGCTGGTGGTTCAAACCCACCAGTCACTCTGCTGAAGGAAGACTGAGCAATCTACTTCCGTAAAGATTTACCATCTCAGAAACCCAAATAGGAGTCACTATGATTTGGAACCAACTCAATCGAGTGAGTTTGGTTTGGTTTGGTAGCTGTAAATTTACGTGTTCATGGAATTTTCACAATAATGCATTTTCATAAAGTGAGTCACACATCAAGTACAGAAGCATATTTTACTTAGGCATGATTGTCTTAAAGCTATTTCAGAAAAAGTGGCAGTAATGGTGGGACAGATACCTGAGAGAAGTTAGATCAGAGAACATGCACGTTAACAGTGCTTGATGCTGGTGAAATGCGAATGAATTAATTTCCAACATCATGTTTCCTGTTTTTAACAGAAGTCGTAACATAGAGAACTTGTGTGAAAGTAATGAAGACAGACAGGGTGGGAAAACCTTCAGCCAGATTCCAAATCTTACTCTGTTACAAAAGAATCCTTCAGAAGTAAATACTCTTGGGTGCTGTAAATGTGGAAACAACTTCATGGCTCATTCACCACAGAAGGATCCCACCAGATCTGACACTGGATGGAATCCTTGTGAGTGTAAGGAATGTGGAGAAGCCTGCACCTGTCCCTCTCACCTAACCTCTCCTAGGAGAACTCGTAATGGAAAGAAACCTCATAAATGTAAGATATGTAGGAAGGACATCTTTTGTATCTCAACTCTTAATAATTCTGTGACTACTCTTTCTGGTGAGAAACACTATGAATGTAACAAATGTGGGAAACGTTTCTGTAGTTTCTTATTTTTAAAGACGCACATGAGAGGTCATAAGCATGAACGTTGCAAAACTTATAGTCATTCTTCATCCCTCATTTTACGTAGAAAATTTCATAAGAGAGATAAACCTTATGAATGTCAGGAATGTGGGAAAGCCTTTCTTAGTTCCTCACACCTCACTGAACATAGAAGAACTCACAGTGGAGAGAGGCCTTATGAATGTAAGGAATGTGGAAAAGCCTTTAGTCAGTCATCACACCTCACTAACCATATAAGAACTCACAGTGGAGAGAGGCCTTTCAGATGTAAGGAGTGTGGGAAAACCTTCAGTCAGTCATCACACCTTACTAACCATGTAAGAACGCACAATGGGCAGAGGCCTTATGAATGTAAGGAATGTGGGAAAACCTTTAGTCACGCCTCATCCCTCACTGCACATATAAGAACTCACAGTGGAGAGAGGCCTTATGAATGTAAGGAGTGTGGGAAATTTTTTAGGTGTTCCTCTCATCTCATTAAGCATGTAAGAACCCATAGTGGAGAGAGGCCATATGAATGTAAGCAATGTGGGAAAACCTTTAGTCATGCCTCATCCCTTACTTCACATAAAAGAACACACAGTGGAGAAAAACCTTATGAATGTAAGCAATGTGAGAAAGTCTTTAGTGAGGCCTCATCCCTCACTAAGCACATAAGAACTCATAGTGGAGAGCGGCCTTATGAATGTAAGCAATGTGGGAAAGTCTTCAGTTACTCCTCAGCTCTCACCATGCATAAGAGAACTCACAGTGGAGAGAAACCTTACGAATGTAAGGAATGTGGGAAAGCCTTTAGTCGTTCCTATTATCTCTCTGAACACATAAGAACTCACAGTGGAGAGAAACCTTTTAAATGTAATGAATGTGGGAAAGCCTTTAGTTGTTCCTCAGCCCTCACTACACATTTAAGAAGTCACAGTGGAGAGAGGCCTTATGAGTGCAAGGAATGTGGGAAAGCCTTTAGTCAGGCCTCAGACCTCAGAAGACATGTAAGAACTCACAATGGAGAGCGGCCTTATGAATGTAAGGAATGTGGGAAAACCTTTAATCGTTCCTCATCCCTCACCACACACATAAGGACACACAGTGGAGAGCGACCTTATGAATGTAAGAAATGTGGGAAAGCTTTCAGTCAGGCCTCAGCTCTCACAACACATATGAGAACTCACAGTGGAGAGAGACCATATGTGTGTAAGGAATGCGGAAAAGCTTTCAGGTGTTCCTCATTCCTCACAACACATATGCGAACTCACAGTGGAGAGATGCCTTATGAATGTAAAGAATGTGGGAAACTCTTTAGACAAGCCTCAAACCTCACTACACATAGGAGAATCCATAGTGGAGAGAGGCCTTATGAATGTAAGGAGTGTGGGAAAGCCTTTAAGTGTTCCTCACACCTTATTACACACAGAAGAACTCACAATGGAGAGTCCTTATGAATGTAAGTGTGAGAAAGTTTTCGTTGTTCCTCACACTTCACATATCTGAACTCAGTCAACAGACTACTTTATGACAAAAGTGAGACATGTTGTCCTTACTACTGTACTTTCAAATAGCAGCTTTCTAAATGTCTGCAATTAAAGAACAGAGTTTGCCAGTGAATGAGATAGCAGTACACCAGCTGAGAGATGGTGTCCTTAGGGTGGCTTTGTGCCTTTGATTGCTTGGAAGATGAGCAGGTTCCCAAGCACAGTTGTCAGGTATGTACACGGGAACAACCTCAAAGAATAGCTGTTTCTCTCAAAGTCTCCACATTAGAAATACTAGAAGCCCTGTGTGCTTTCCTGGTTTTATTTAAAGGAAGTGTCTGGCAGGACTGAGGCAGAAGCAACACTAAAATAACAACCAGCAGTCATCTCAGAAGTACCTTTAGGTTGAAGCCAATCTGTTGATGAGATAATATGTTTGCTTAATGTTCTCTTGTCTTCTGTCAATTTTGGATTTCCACATGGTGCTATTTTCTCTGCAGCCACCAAAAAAAAAAAAATCAAAACCAGACTCACTGCCGTCGAGTCGGTTCTGACTCATAGTGACCCCTTCTTGGGTTTCCGAGGCAGTATCACCATGGAAGTAGATTGCCCAGTCTTCCTTCCAAGGAGTGGCTGGTGGGTTTGAACCATCAGCCTTCTGGTTAGCAGTCAGATGCCTTAGGCACTGCGCCACCAGACTAGACCGAAAACCTAGAATCTAAACGTAATTTTGCACCCAAAGCAGACATCATCGGTTCAACACTCTTGACATCTGACCAATAAGGCTTGTCCATTTTACATGTATTTGGATTCTTTAAAAATGCCTATATAGTAATAAAACTCATGGGTCTATATATAATTACCATAAGCTATGAGGATTTGAAAAATAATTTCCATGCAGTTGATTTAGTGAAAACATACAATAGAAGAATAAATTAGTCATCAACTGAATTTAAATCCCACAGAGAACATATTGCCAAGATTGCCATTTAGAAATGACAGTTAAAAATCATTAAAAATGATTTGAAGGCACACAAAAAGGAGACATGTCCCAGTGAGGTTTTCGAAGGCAGTTTCATTCTGATGTCAAAGATGTGAAAAAGAATATGGTACCACAAGTGCAAGAACAGTACAAAAACCAGTGATTAATCTCGTTAGTTGCATATGTGGGAAAACCTAAAATAAAATAGCAATACAAAATAAGAATGGCAAAGCAAGTAATGTGCCCAGGTAGCATTCAGCCCAAGGAAACATTTGAGCATTTCATATTTGTAATTTACTTGTCTAGTAGAACACATGAGTAGAAGAAAGCAATATACAAAGTCATAGAATCATCTTAATAGAGCTAAAAGGTCTTGTATAAAAACAGTTTAGAGAAACTGAATAGAATGATGCTTCTTACATATGTTAAGAAAGCTTTTTTTGTAGCCATCAGCAATACAAATCAGAACCATAGTGAGATACAATTTCACTCCCACTAGGATGGCTAAGATTAAAAAAAAAAAAAGAAAAAGATAACAAATGTTGAAGATAATGAGGACGTTGGAAACTTTACTCATTGCTGATGGAAATTTAAAATGGTCCATGTGTTGTGGAAAACAGTGTGGCTGTACCTCAGAAAATGAAAACTAGAACGAACATATGACCCAGCAATTCCACTCCTACGTATATCCCCAAAAACTTGAAAGGAGAGACTCAAACAGAGACTTTTAGAAACCAGTGTTCATTGCCACGTAACTCATAATTGCCAAAAAGTGGAAATAATCTAACCCCCCACCAAAAGATGAATGGATAAACAAAATGTGGGCATATGTTCAGTGTAATATTACTGGAGAAATGAAATCTTGATACAATGTAGGTGGAGCTGGATGGCCTTGTGCTCAGTGAAATAAATCACAAAAGGATAAGTACTGTATGACCTAACTAATAAAAAACAAGAACGAGGAAGTGTATAAAGAACAGAGTTTATTACTGGGTAATAGTGGGGAGAGGGAGGGGGAAATGGGGGTTAACGGTGATGGAAATGATTGTATTAAGAGTAGGGCTGCACAACTGATTATTGTAATTGCTGTCAGTAGTTTTACACTTAGTAAAACATGATTATTTACAGTGACACACAAAAAAAGTAGGCGCTGAGGCTGCTTGAGTCTCATACCTTTTGGTTAGGAGGTTTAGGATCATGGTTTCATGGGACATCCCAGGTAACTAGCCTCATAACATGTTTATTGCTCTTGTTCTGCCTTCTAGTTCATTGCATTGTGTCTAGTGTCTTACAGACTTGCAAGTGCCCAGCTAAGGCACAGTAATTGGTCTCTATTTGCATGGAACAACAGAGGAAGAAAGAATCAGGAATAGGAGGATATGGAATGTGTGGCTAACTGCCTCCTTTGCCTTGAGACCAGAATGGAATGGTGCTTGACTAACAGTATGAATAGTATGAGCTAAGATTCAATAGAAGAATCATAATTAAAAGGGGGAAAGTGCAGAACAAAATGTCAGATTCTCATGGCTTCTAGACTTCATGGAGCCATAAAAGTTGGTTGAAAGCAGTCTTTAAACTTTACACCAAAAATACCCCTGATATCTTCCATAAACCAAATAATAATGTAGCCTAATTAGTAACAATAATGCCTTGAACATTAAGCTTTTTTAGAACTATCTGTATTGGGATCAGTTTGACAACAGCAACTCAAAAGATTTGATAGCAATTTTAGGGGGCAGTGGATTCATGTTGAGGCAGGAATGACTCAAGGGGGGAGAGGATGATTGCATAACTCAGTGTAATCATTGTCACTGAATGATACCTGTGGAAACTGCTGAATTGGTGTGCTTTGCTGTGTATATTCTCAACAACAATACCATATTTTAAAATTGAGAGAAAATGTCAGTCATCAGTCACTATCAAGCTTGACATTAATTAAAATGTTGGAGGAATCTCTAAGAAAGTCCTGCAAAAGACGAAGATGTGTGCCCAGGTTTTATACAACATTGTTCAGAAATTTCAAACCAATGAAACCAAAGGAGAAAAAACAAGCACAGGGTTGTCTCTGGAGAAACTAAGTGGATCATCTGAACTGATGATAAAATTGGCTACCTTAGATTAACTGGAAAACTGGGATAACTAAGAAGTGATGTGGCGAGGAAGGTGAAAAGCAAAATCCCTCCTTATCTTCCCTATTTCCAGCAATAAAGAGAAACATACAAGGAAAAACATCCTATTCAGATAGTACAGTGGCAAACATACAGACCAGGGTGTGACTAATTGAAGAAGGTCAGTGATTGATCCATAAATACCAGCTGGTGTTTGTTTACACTTCCCTGGTGAAGGAAGAGTACTTGTCTCTCGCATGGGCTGTCTCATCCCTCTGGTAACACATGACACAGATGCTTCCACCATCATTCTGCATGTGGTACAACTGACAGTGGGTGTGAATGTTGGTTCAATGCCTTTGATGAGGAGGGAGGTCGCCGTGAGAGAAATGCCAGCAAACATAGCAGGAGACTCGGGCACTGGCAAGATGTGAGGGGAAAACCATGTTCCCCGGGAGAGAGATAGGTCCTGAGGAGGAGAGTGAGTGCTGGAGAATTATGTGGGTATGAGTGAGGAAAGGTGTAGGGATACCCAGCACTTCTTTCTGGGGTAGGCATTTTGAACTTTTTGGAGTTCTTTTTCCAACAGATAAACTCCCTGATTCCTTGTGTAAGGCTGTGCCTTTCAAGTAATCACTTCTCTTCCCTATCATTTAATCTCAATAATTTACTTCATAATTCTGCTACTTGTAAAAGTAGAATGTGGTCTGTGAGAAATACATGGGCTACTGTAAAGCCTACTACTGCTGGGTTTTCAGTAGTCCCTCGCATCATAGGAATTTGGAGATGAGTTGAGACTGTTGGATCCTTCTGTGTAAGTAAATGACAAAATGGGGCCTGGGAGTGGAGGACGGGGGTTGGGTAACACAGGTGAACTTTCATTTGAGAAGGTCACGTGCAAAGGTGTGTTCTTCAGCTAGGAATCTGGAGGAGAGGGGGCTTGCTTGGGTCTTGTGGTCTTGAGGAAACGGTGCTGTGGCTCCATGGGGACCTTTGAGGGGATTCCACAGATGAGTGTGGGAGAGGCATGGTGGGGGCCTCAGGCAACTGTGTGGCCACCATGAGGTGAAGTGCTTGGTGGGGCCACTACTCAACCAAGAGGACAGCAAGGGAAATGGAGGTGAAGGTGCATCCTAGTCCCACAGAGTAAGAAGGAACCCATTTTGTGTCGAGTCTTCAGGGAAACGGTGCTGGCTGAGCAGAAGGCACCAGGAAGTCAACAAGAATGTGTGGGTGTGCTTGGGGTGCCCTGGGGAGCCCCAGCATGCTGAGCTCAGATGAAGCTCAGGAAACCTAAGTCCACCATGAGCTTCTAAATCGTGGGGTCAAAACACCCAACAGAGGAAGACAACACTTGGGACGCTGGCGTGCGAGCCAAGAGAGGCCCAAGGGGAGTGCCTGAGGTTCCTATTTACCACACTGTCATCCCACTTGGGGATTGTGCTTTTATGTGATCAAGTGAGAATGGGAAATTTAGGTCTTTCAGTATTTTACCCTGAATTCACTTCGTAGTTAGTGGAGTGTATTTTCATATTAATAGCTATACTTACTGTTTTATATATTATTCTAGTGTTATACATTATTATTATGTGTCATTTTATATATTATCTGTTATTCATGTTTTAGATATTAAAAAATTTGTATTTTTCCTGAATCTTTGATTCACATCCTTTCATCATTTATCTTAAGTATTTTTAAAATTCTG